TTACCAATGTTATAAAACAGATGCTGCATATAAACAAAAGTATCTGTGGGTCATCTCATCCAACCTCTATGTGAATACATGTATCAGTGTTAACAACCAACTGCTGTATGTTAATAAATATACTGGTGTCATCAACTAACTGATATGTATATCATTAAATATTCTAAAGTCATTAACAAGTCATTGTATAGCCATAAACATGTTGCTCTTACTAACCAACTGATATATATATCACGGATAAAATAATAATTATAAAATTAATAATAATAATAAAATGTTAAAGGGGGCCAGGCATTGTACCTATTAATGGAAGGAGTCTGGATTGAATCAAAAGTGATTCCTTATATTTTCTGTCAAGGAAATTGTCACAAATTTCTAAAATTTTGATTGTATATATGGTGTCCCATTGATTGTGCCATGTTCTTTTAAGTAATATTCAGTGGTAACTTCTTTGTTGTCAGGATTTCCAGTGGCATGATTGTGTTCTTTGAAACAATCGTGTATTGAATGCTTGGATTCACCTTTATATGTGTGGCCGAACACTGTACATGTAAGTTCATAGACAGTGTTTTTAAATGTGCAGGACTTCTCTAAGCCATTTGTATTTACAAAACACTTTTGGATTTTCATGTATTGTTGTTATTAAAGGCTCAATAAGTGAGTATATCCTTTAGTTTTCTACCAGGTTTTTGTATGATTTTGATATTCAAACCAGATCTTCTAATCGCTTGACGAAGACGAGCAGTTAAAGGTTCATCCACGAAGAGCATAATCCAAGAAACAGTGTCTTGATGTGATATTCTTTTTTTTAATTTAATTTGTTAATATCTTGCGAGTCAAAACTGTGGAATGTCTTAGTAATGTAACTATACGGGTAACCATTGGACGACAGTAGCTTTTGAAGTTTGATCCTAGCTTGCGTCTTACCGTCCATGGTGTTGCAGATTTTCTCAGTCCTATTAAGTTGACCGATAATGACACCTCGTTTGGTAGCTGGAGGATAGTGTGAGTTAAAATGTAGAAAATAGGTTTAACATGTGGTTTAGAATATATGGTAGTAACAAGTTTGCTGTTTATGATAATGACCATGGTATCAAGAAATGGTATAGATTTCTGGACATTATCGGTATAAGTAAGCATGAGCATTATGTCGGAGTGTTGATTATTAAGGAATTCAACCAATTCCAAACAAGAAGGGAGTCCATGATTCCATGTACCGAAAATGTCGTCAATATATCTGTACCATCTAGTTAGTTCAAGATTAATTTCAAAATTCCACTTTGTAACAGCTGATGATTCAAAGAAATGCATAAAAATAGAGGTCACGATGACAGCAATATTATTGTCCATAGCGATGCCTTTCTTTTGTTTGTAGAGAGTTGAATCAAATTTGAAGCAACTGTTGTTGAGAAAAAATCTGAGAATTTTTAATGACTTTGTAGGAATATCAATGGTAGTATAATAGCTGGTCGATCTAAGAAGATTCATGACCGAGCTTATACTTTCTTTCATTGGAATGGAAGGATACATAGAAACAACATCAAGAATAAAGAGGATAGTGTTTGATTTTATCTGTAAATCATCTCTGCATAACCTATTGAGACAGTCATCGGTGCTATTAATGTGTGAAGGAAATTTGTTGAGGAGAGGGTGAAGTAACTTTTTAAGTAGCCATGATACAGATACTAAAGGAGAGTTGAATATGGAGACTATCAGGCTTATGATCTTTGGGTAATCCATACAGTTCAGGGGGTTTTGAATGAGATGGCCTAAGATTATCAAGAAGTCGCATGGGTATAGTGGTTTTGCTCTTAAATTGCCCCAAAATGTCTTTTGTATTTCTTTCCAGTTCTTTTGTAGGGTCTTTCTTAAGTGGTTCATAACTAGACATATCATCGATATGTTCTTTAATTTTTTTTCTATGTAGCTGGATGTATTCAGTACAACAAAACCTTTACATCTGTCACTTACTTTAACATTTACTTGATCATTCATTTTTAACTCGTTGATGGCTAACTATTCGTTTTTTGAAAAATAATCGATTTTACATAATAATTTCTAAAACTATTTAAAATCCTGTCAACATCGTTTTTAAGCTTCTCGATACTCTCTTCTCTAGTAGAGCATGCTCTGGGAGGAACGTGTTTTGGAAGGTCAAAAGGTACAAGAGCAAGATTAAATTGTGATTTGTCCACATTGTTATTAGAGTTAGATATGTTTATATTGGAAGAATAATGTTTTTCTTGAACTCTTAATTTATGGAAGCATTGGTGAAGAGATGAAGGAATATCAAGGTTAACCTTCTCGGTAACTTGACCCAAAATAACAAAATTCAGAACTTTAGAGAGGATGGAAATGGATTCCTTTGGGAGTTTTGGATCATCTAGAACTGTAGTCCTATTGTTAAAATCATGGTAATCATAATTACATGTGGACCAGAGTTTATTTTCAGTCGTGTGAACTAGTCTATTAAATTTCTTTTCTAATCTAGTGTTATTTTCTTTATACTCTTTCAACTTGATTAGGTTAGCAATGGTATATGACCACTGATGGAGACTATGTTCTCGACACTTCTCCAAGATATCTTGACTAGACTTAATTAGGGTGACGTGATTTTTTTAGTGTACATGACATCAATAACATCACGAACAATCCCATTTAAAAATATGTTTTGATGATGAAGAGACTTACTGTTATTAAGAATACATTAGGGAAGATGTACTAATTAAGTTATACCATAAGGTATATGACTGTATTTTGTGTTTCTACTGGTCAATTCATTTACTTTTCATTAGTGTTTTATGTTATTTTCACAGTTACATTACTCCTTCATTTACAGTTAGACTACAATTAGAAACAAGATAAATAGCACGTATATTTAGAAATTGGATAAAGTGTATGTACATATATAATACTAAAATTTTAAAATTAAAACATAACTGGTACCCAAAGTATACTTAAGTTGTGCTGCACAAACCTGGATTTTACAGTCCATAGTCATTTTGGAAATAAAGTTTTTGTTTAAAAAAAAAGGTTTCGTTTTCTCATGCA